CCAAGATTCACAGTGCCGAATGCAAGAAGAGGTTCTCCGAACTTGTTTCTGCAGATCGAGCTGAAGCAGCTGCAAAAAGCGCTGCCAAAACTGAATCTAAGGAACCCATTCCCATTGTTCATACTGAAGGGGATGAGGAGCTAGCCAGAGCAATCCACGCATCCGAGCATGAAGAAGATCCTAAGACCGCAGTTAGTGCAGAAGATGTTGCGCATGAATTTGATGCAGCCGAAGCTGGGGAGCCCGCTCCCTCAAGACCCGGTGGCTCATTTTTCGATACCGCGCCAGCGACAGCCGCAACATCGCAAGGTGAAGATTTTTGGGTGTTCAAAGAAAATGCCAACTGTTTGGTCCGGTACCATATCATGCCAAGGCAGAATCTTTTTACCCCAAAAGAGGTCGAGGATTGCCCCGTTTCCCCAGAAAGATTTACTGCAGCTCGCACCACTCGTGCCGTGTTTCAGGGGGGCAAAGCAGACAACATCACGATGGTTGGTTTGGTAGCCGACCTAATCGCTCACTTGGAGATGCATGGACCGGGTTCACAGTGTTTAAGTTAAAACCCATTCAGTCCGATTGTGTTATCACCACAGGTGCAGCCGTGATGTTAGACTCCGTACCGCCGACACCTCTCACCGATGCATCAAAGAACGGTCGTCCGAACACATTGCCAATTTTTGGCATGCCGTGCAGCGCAGAGGCTGAAGCTCCACAGCGCAAGCAGTTTGAGGTCGGAAATCATCGTGCACGCAAGAGACAAGCACGCATTGACAAGTTGCCTGTGATGTTCGAATACGCATGTTCACCAGAGTCCAACATGGGTCGCGTGTTTGAAGGTCTAGGCATACCTCATGTTAGGCTGGCTAAAGAGTTTATCGACCTTAGCACAGATGAAGGAGAAATCCAGTTGCAGTCGCAGATTGAAGGTTGTGATAAACCCAATCTCTGGGCTGCAATTCCCTGTACATCAGGTTCAGCATGGCAACGCCTTAATAAGGCCAAGTTAGGAAGCCAGTTCAAAAAGAAACTGAAGCAAAAGGTTAGAGAGTCGAGAGAGTTGTTCTCCAGATTCAGACGTCACGCAGAGACTGTCCTCCATCAGGGGGGTAGTGTGTCGTTTGAGTGGCCAAGGGATTGCGACAGCTGGGCTAGGGATGATGTTTCTGCGTTCTTTAGGGAATACGCACACGTCTTCACCCCAGCGACATTCCACGGTTGCGCCCTAGGTCTGAAGGACAGCAATGGCTATCCCATCAAGAAGCCATGGAAAGTCATGACCAGCAATAGCACCCTCGCATCCGCGCTAAGTGCATTCAAGTGTCCGCACGAAAAAGGGTATAAACATTCGCTTGCAGCAGGTAACAAAACCGCAAAGACCGCTTTCTACCCCGAAGGCATGTGTCTCACAGTTGCCCGTGCGCTGTATCCGACAGTTCAACCCGTTGTGCCTGCAATGCCTGTCCAAGTGCCATTGCCTCTCGATCACCGGGAACGTGAGCAACAGTTGAAACACATATCCCCTCTCTCTGGTTTGGAAGATATAGGTCTTGCTGTTGAGTCCGATGAAAAGTGTCACGACATCCTTGAACAAGTTCTTGATGTTGAAAATCTCATCGCACATTCCCTAGGACAAGTCAAGGAGAAGAAGGATCCTGAGATCACCGCAATGGTGACCAGACTCTTGTCACGTGCCGAAATGTTGGCTTCCCCGGAAGCCCTTGAAGCCGTTCGACTTGAAGCCACAGGCCTGGAGAAAGCCGGTGCTTGGGATCTAAATTCAGTCCGAGAGTATGATCAAGTCGCTGCTGAGGCGCGACGATCCAGTATAAAAGTTCATTTCGGGCAGTTGATGTCGCTAGCATCCGTCAAGTTCGCCGAACTCGCGAAACACCTTCAGAAGATGAAAGGTAGGATTGTGTATCGCGGAGACTGTGCGAAAGACGAACATGGCGCAGCAGCTGTCTACCAAGAGTTGGGAGCAAATCCCACGAGCGTACAAGGTCTTAATAACTGTCTCGCTTATGGATCCCTGCCAGGGAATTCCACCACAACAGCGGACGCTATAAAGGCTTATGTGCAAGCCTGCTGAAGTCCAAGTACCAAACTTGGATCACACTCCCGCCTGAGCTCCGGCCAAGGTGGTGGCGCGAGCGTTTCGTGAAACCTGTGGTTTTGCTCGTTAAAGCTCTTTATGGGCATCCTGACGCTGGCGGACTCTGGGAGGCACACCTCAAAGGGTTCATTAGTGAACTTGGAGGGCGTGAGGTCGCAGAGTTTCCTGGAAACTTCTGGTTCAAGGAGTCCGGGTTACTTCTCTCGACATACGTCGACGACTTGACGTTGGCCGGCCCCAGCCACCTTCATAAAGACTTCTGGGAAAAGTTAACAAGACTGGTTGATATAGAACCCCCAGAAGACATATATCGGGTGCTAGGCAGGAATCACCTTTTGATAGATGCTCCAAAGGACCCAACTGAACCCGATCTTAATGCCGCAATGGGCAGATTGAAAGGGGGCATGGCGTTCGACATGCGGGATTATGCCCGTCAAACGGTGGCATTATATCTTGAGGTTGCACAGCTAAAAAGTGAAAAGTTGCGTGATGCCACCACTCCATTCTGTCCCGCTGGATCCCTTGATCCTGCAGATGACGCCTTGGAGGGTGAGCTCGGCTTCGCCGCTTGCCGCGTGTTGATGAAAGCCTTATGGCTCGGCCGTTTGGCACGCCCAGACCTGGTCAAGCCCATTGGCGACCTTGCCTCATTTGTTCAGAAATGGTCTAGAAACTGCGATAAGCAGCTACATAGGCTTGTATGCTACATAAACAGCACGGTCAACAGCACGCTAGTAGGCACAGTTCAAGATTCGACTGAGGATTTGCATCTGTCTCTCTATGTGGACGCCGATTTCGCTGGAGAACGAGACGCAAAATCCACGTCCGGAGGATTCTTGATTTTGAGTGGTCCGCACACGCATTTTCCACTTGCGTGGGTGTCCAAAAGGCAGACCTCGGTCTCCCGATCGACAACCGAGGCGGAGATCGTATCTCTCGCATACTCCCTTTACCAGGAGGCGCTTCCTGCGCTCAGCTTGTGGGAGCTGATCTTGGACCGACCATTCCATCTCAAGATCCACGAGGACAATCAGGCGACTATCCTCGTAGCGAGAAAAGGTTTCTCATCCAAGCTACGCTGTGTCCAGCGAACGCACAAGGTGAACCTCGCGTGCATCGCAGAGCAGCTTGAAAGCGAACACATCTCGATAGAATACGTCCAAACCGACATGCAGTCAGCAGACATCTTCACGAAAGCACTTCCACCCAACAAGTGGGACCATGCCATCCGGTTGCTCGGCATTCGTGTTGACCTTCCAGAGAAGCTTGAAGACGTTCGTGAAAGTAGATCCGCTAAAGCAGCTGCCTAGTGCGCTGCAGCATGTCCGCAAAATTTCCAAAAGTGTGCAAAGTGCCTGGGCGATGCTTGAATAACTTGCGTCAGTCGTTGTGATGTAAACTTGACTTCAAGTTGGCGTGGTAATGCGCCCAAGACACTCCCTCAGTGCCGTCAATGAGGGGGGAGTCAATTATCACGATGACATTTATGGCCCAGAGGTACATGAGGTAGGTTCTCATGTAGTCAGTTGCATGTTGTACATTCAAGTCAATGCCAGAGCATGATCCAATCACTGCTTTGGCTCAAGTGCTGCAAACAGCGCGTTGCTCGCGCTAACCCCAAGATTAAGGGAGAGGTCGCAGTCACGGAGGGGTTCGTTCCTTTTAAGGTCCCGGGTTCCCCCGTTGTTGACAAAACTGTGTTTCCCTCTCCTTTGAGTCCAAAAGGGGATACTGTGGGTGGTTGCGAAATCCATTTCGCACCACTTTGGAACCATGGTTGAAACCATTGTTTATTTGTACTTACCGGATGATCATCATTCTAGGGCGTCTTCGGTGCAGGATTTGTCCATCCACAGTATGGAGGAACGCATGTGCTTCCTGTTTGCGCGCTCGCTTCCCGTCCTTCTCTTGGACTCGAGCTGCAGTAACACGAGGAAGGTCTTCGGTTGAGCGTTTAACCTTGAACTTAAGAAGTTACAACAGAGACCTGCTAGTATTTGCATCCGTGACCCTGTTGGGTGCAAACTCAGTTTGAACATGCAAGCCATCGTTTTGGCCTTTGGTTTTGTTGCTAAGGCACTTGTCTGCTTGTTGTGTCACCTCCTGTTCCTGTGTTCTTTATTGTTAAAAGCTCCGCTTCCGCAGCAGCCGGCAACAAAACGGCGATGGAGCTCCACGTGCCCGTGACTTTTGGAGTGGGGCTTCTCCCCTTCGCCGCCAAGAGAGACAGGAGATGCCCAGCTCAGCTTTCAACATGGTCTTGTGGGAGAACTTCTGCCTTTGTCGTTCTGGAGAGTTTTGGGCGGCCAGAAACCAAGTTATTGGTTGCCATGCCATGCAACTGCTTTGCACCAGTTTCCTGGCATGACTATCTCTTTGAGTGTTGACGTGGTTTCTGATTGGACAAGCCAACGCCAAAAACAACTCCCCACAAAAGTGTGCCACAGGAAAAAGACAACAAGAAAGACCATAATTTTCTTGGTGGTTCGCAGCCATCCCCTAGATGTTTGGGGTTTTTCGGGTTTAGTGTTTGGGTTTCCATTGAACCCACTAAAAGTGATTCGCTTTGCCCGGGGGACTAGAAAAAGGCCAGCCCAGTTTTCTCCAGCCCTTCTTCGCGGTATTTCAGGAGAGGAAACGGCCCCAAGAGAAACCATCCTTATGGTTTCCTTTATTCGGGCATTCCCACAAACGGTTCATTCAACCAACACCCGGGCTCGGAGAAGGTCATCCCTACTGTGGACAAAATCCTGCACCACTTTGATACATGGGAAACCATTACTTGCTAGCATTTACAGGGGAAGATCAGAAACCAGGGTCCCTTAGATGGTGCAAAATGGATTTCGCAACCATCCACAGTACGTATCGCAGTTGCCGGTTTTGTGAGGGGAAGATCTCTTGGCCGCTCTGCTGGGTCCGCGTGGTGGACGAGCTGCGGCGCCACGGGGTGTCCGAGCGGAGGCGCGGCCAAGGCGTCGAGGCGTCAGATGCGTCGGCAGGGGGCTGCCGGGTGTCGTGTCCAAGGCGCACGTACGCGCCGCTGGGGCATGCGGCAAGCGGGTCGCACGGCTTTTTTTTTTGGGGGGGGTTGGCTGCCAAAGGACAGGTGTCAAGAGGGTTCTTGCGGATCGGCATGTCTCTTGTCCACGGGCATGTAACAATCGCGAGCTTTTAGGAAGTCAGGACACCTCAACCCCTTGCTCTGTGTTAGGTCTCTCCCTACGCATCCTTTTTGTGAGCACTTTGCGTGGGAGATGGGGCGAACCAAGCATGCCCTTCGCCCACCCACAAAGCATATGAGAGGATTGCCTCATCCGTGAAGCTCTGACCTATGGCATGCATCTCCGACACGTGCCCACGTCTCTGTATGTGTGGGGGGGGGGGGGGCCACAGAACCTCTGGCAAACGAAGACGCCCCTGCTGCTACTTAAGCAGCTGGTGATGTTATGCGCTGTTACTTCCTTTGTTGCTCCTGGGTGCGCAGTGTTGTCGCCGTTTGGCTCGAAGGAGAGCCCTCACCCTCAAATCGTATTCTTGCTCCAGTTGGGTCACTCCAGCATATTCTAGCCTCTCCAGGATTTAAGTGAGTGCGAGTGTGTGTGTGTGTGTGTGTGTGTGTGTGTGTGTGTGTGTGTGTGTGTGTGTGTGTGTGTGTGTGTGTGTGTGTGCGCGTCTGTCATTGTCTCTCTGTGAGTGTCTGTGCGCGTTTGCGTGCCTAGCGCTGCCAGGAAGCTAGACGATGTGTCGGCGGAGGTCAGCCGGCAGGCGTGGCCCACGCAACCATTGCAGACGACACGGATGTGACCAGATGGAAAACTGAACATGCTTAAAGATGCCGCTGCATCCGCCCCATTTTTTGTCCAGTTTTGCAACCCACTCTTGTGAGGATTGGAGGGGCCATTGGACAGATCGATGAGCACACTATGGGGGAAAACAATGACACGAAGAAACCCTGCTAACCCTGTTGTTGATTGAGGCGTTTATCAACCCCTTGCCCGTTGGGGTTTTCTGGGGCTGTGGGAACGAGGCATTTTCCACTTCTGTGATGCCAGCGAACCCCCTCTCCAGGTGATGAAGTTGTGGGCCTTCCAGCTCAGATTTCCAGCAGTTCTGGGGTAAAGCTGGGCAGATGTCTAAAGTTTCAAGTCTGTTAATGGTTTTGGCCCCTTCAAAATGAATCACGTCCGATTGGCGCTGGCTTGGTGGTTTCCTGTTCCAACAGCTTTGGGCGAAAACCATTGAAAGTCGTTTATTACTGGTTTTTGGGCTTGTCAAGCCCGAAGCCAATGGTTTTCACCCAAACCGTTTGGGAACAGGAATCCACCCAGCCGCCCATTTGGGGTGATTCATTTCGAAGCGATTTCCACATGCAAACAATCCAAAAACCACCAGCGCTAGCTGCTGTGATTGCTTAATGTTTCAAACATGGGTGTGGCTCAAAATTAACCAGGCGGGGTTACGCAGGTTTGGGTCCATGTTTCCACTTACTAGGGTTCCATTTTGGTACCGGTTTTTTGAGCCACAGCCACATCTCCAAGAGACCCAGCAGGGGGCATCCATCCATCTCTCAAACCCAAAGGTCCTCGAATCAGCTGATCTTTGAGGCTGTGGCCTAGCCCCTCCCCCGAAGAAGGTGGAAAGCGGATCCGTTTCCCTTTCCGTTTCCCTCTCCGAGACCCGAGAAAAGCGAGTTCCCGGAACCTAGGCAAGTTCCGGAAGCCATCGGATGGCTCGGAAAGCCTGAGAACCAGCATAATTTTGCCGAAATGAATATCATATCTGTTTTATTTTTCCCTTTTGGTTCTTAAAGAGAACTTATCACTACTTGGGAAAACTCATCCACTTCAAACACACAAAACATGTCCCCCTGGTTGTTTAAAGGGAATCCACCGCTACTGGGAGCATTTTCTTTTTTCGGTCCCCCTAGTTTCTTTCAAGGGACTCCGATCCACCGACGGCGCGCCCATTTCCTCATTCTCCTCCCACTCGGCCTTAAGCGCCACGTCGGCCGTGTCGTGTCCCTCGGCTCGGCTCGGCTCGGCCGCAGGCGCGGCAGGCGCTGGTGGACCGCCTGAGCTTCTCGGCGCGGCCCTGGCTGCTGGGAGCGCTGGCCGGGGGCACGGCCTCCCTGGCGCTCCACGCGCCTCGCTTCGAAGTTTTTCGGGGTCGGGCCGTCCGGGAGGCGGGCGGTCGCCGCGGTGGAAAGAGGCGATCCTCTTTCCCCGTGGGTTTTCCAAGCTGTTGGTTTTGAAGGGGGCCTACCACTATGGAGAAACAGGGTGTTTTTCATCTTGCTGGTGCTCAGCATGAGGGAATGACCGAATGACCTCTATGAACCGGACACAAGGGACCAAAGCCTGGGCTCACATTCCCTACTGAGCACCAGCAAGTTTTGTGGTTGGGGTACCTGGGGTCCGTTGGTTTTTTTGTGTGTGGCACCTTTTTGGGCTGCGTTGTTTTTGCTGGGTTGGTTTTTGGCACCTTTTTTTGAGTGCTTTTAGGGGTGGTAGCTTTGGTAAAGACAACTTTTGTTTCCTTTTGGGGGGGATTTGCTCCTTTGTGGTTTGGATGGGAGGCTTGGAGGTTTCAACACCCCCAGTCCCTTTTGACAAACGGTTTGTTTTTGTGGCTTGAAGAAAAAGCAATGGCCATTCTCAGGTACCCACGGCTTTAAGGGACCGGGGCCGTGAAGATCTCGAAAAAGCGGTTGGTTTTTGTTTTTGGGCATCTCTTCTGGGGATGTCACTTTGGACCAAAAGGATTGTGAAGGGAAGCCACAGGCTGCTGCCGATGAGAAAAATTGGGGTACCCTCCCAGTGGAGCTTGACGGCGGTCGGTTCCCGAAAAGCAATTGTCCGCAGGCACCTGGTTCCATGTTGGCTGGGACCCGTCAAAGGCAGACCCTTTTGGAGCCAAGCCAATTAGAGGAAGCCAATCCATCCAAACCACGGCCCCCAGGGAAACCCGAGAAACTCTGAGGATGGCAAGACCTTGGAGGGGCTGCTGCCTGCCTGCATCAAGGAGTCTCCGGCCAAGGCGGGGCCGGGGGAACGGCCGGGGGGGGAGGGTGACGCCCGAAAATGCCAACCGCAACTTCCGGTGGGGAAGGGTGGGGAGGCGAAGGGGGCGGGGGGTGGAATGAAAGTGAGTGTGTTTGAATGTGGGCAGGGGAAGAATGTGATGGGCATGGAAAAAATGGGAAGGGCACGGCAAAGAATGTGAAGGGCAAGGGAAAAAGCAGGGTGAAGGGCATGGATGAGGCTGATGGGAGCCCTGAGGCCGTGGAAGCAGCAATGCGCTGGTTCTGCCAGGGCACCTCGGACAGATGGCTTGGACCTTTGCCGGGGGGGTTGCTCCGTCAAGACCGGCAAGCTGCAAGCATCAGCGTGCACCATGTATAGAGCTGTGACAAAAATATACACAAATACACGTTCAAGAGAGCAGCATATTTTTCAGTTCCTTTTCTTGAAAGATGTTATTATCATAAGCATGACTTTAGATCCCAGAGTGACCCAAGTGGCAGATGGGAGCTTTTTTCAAGTCACTCCCCCTTGCGCCCCCAAATCCAGCGAGCCGAGGCATGAGTGAGCAGGCCGCGGGAGCTTGCGGGTGACCGGCTGTTCAGTTTTTGCCACAAGCGGCAGGTGAGGTTTTCGCCCCATTTTGCAAACTACGCAAACATGATTGTAACGACGGGAAGCGTTGCTTTGTAGCTGGGGGTCCGTTACTTCATTGAGTTATTTTTGGATATTTCGTTCGTGCGGGCTGTTGGCAAGTTGTCTGGTTTCTCTTTTTCTGTTCATTTTTGGTAAAGAAGCTGTCGGCTTCTTGCTACCATACCAAGGGTTGTAAAGCACCCCCCTCCACTTCCCCCCACCCCGCGGTTTGACCAAAGGTCCTGGCGCATATTGTGTCCGACAGGTGAGAAAACCCCCCCCCCCCCCAATGGGTGGCTTGGATTGGTTTGGGATTGTGTTTGAAGCCCTGGTTCTTGTAGAGGTCCAATGGTTGAAACCCGTTTCACCCACCAAACCACCGATTCGTCTCCAACCAAACCACGCAACAGTCTGCCTGGCGCTCAGCAGGGCTGAGGAAATGACCCCAAGAAAACCCATCGATGGACAAAATGCAGAGATGGACGACGCCCGATTTGAATTTGGACGATTCCAACTGGCGTGTTTTGTAAACTTGGTCCGTCCAAATTCCAAGGAGACCGTTCCAAGCCGAAGCCAAAGAAGGTCGGTCTCACCACACATGGCGACCTCAAAACCAGAGCTTCTATCCCTGGTGATTTCCTTCATTCGGTGGAGCAAAGCCCAAAACCGGTTCATTCCATTTCTCATCCCCGACCGGCTCGCACGAGGGAATGAGAGAATGACCATCCCACTGGCGATTTCCTTTAGACTTTCGGGATTCCGTTTCTCCTTCCCCATCGCACCAAGCCATGGGGGGGAACCCGGGGGAAGCCCAGGTTTCCGTTTCTCCTTCCCCCGGCGATTTTTCGAGCAGCTGGGAAGCTGGAAGCTGCCCATCCAACTGGTGGTTTCCTTTCATAACAAACCTGCATTTTTCCATTTCTCAATCCCTAGCGAGACAATGGGAAGCTCTTCCAGCCGTGGGGCCGTGACCGAAGCGAAGCGAATCGAAGCGAAGCGCGCGACCAGGACCCCGAGAAGCTGCAGACCTCGGAGCTGTGCCTGGCCCTGGGCTTCCGGCGTCTGCAGCTCAAGGCGCTTTCGACGCGAGACACGAGAGACGCGAGAGACGCGAGGGACGCGAGAGGCGAGAGACGCGAGAGACGCGAGAGACGCGAGATGCGCCCCGGTTGGGGGCAAGGGGGAAGGTATTGGAAAAAAACGTGGCGCAGACCGGGGGAGCATGGAGTCATGTTCAACCACTTTTGGAGGTGACTTACTGAGGATTGGTGGCGAAATCCGCTTCTCGCACCATGTAAAAGAGACTTTGGAGGGATGATTCCCCTGTAACACAACAATGCAATGGCCCAAACATCGGTTCGGTTTTGGCAGGGGTCGCTGGATGTCCCCTTCAAAGTTGGAAGTTTCTGATGGTTTACTGTGAGATTGCCACTGTTGGAAGTGCAAAGCAGGGAAATTCAAGAACCCTAATTTGGGGGCTCCATGAAGCGCACGGATGTTGGAAGAGGCACTCTTGCTGAACTTCCCTGTCTGCGAGCAACCCTGTTTCACTTGGCGGTGTTACGGTTTTTCAGTGGCACTTGGTGGGTTGCCAGCCCCTCAAGTTGCTTGCTACTTGGGCTTCACAGGGCCCAGAGCCGTCCCCAAAGAAATTTGGTTTGGGGGGAACAGGGCGCTGAGAGTTGGGGGGAGGCGGTGGGCCTTGCATCTCACAGTTCAGGCGAACGTTCGCCGGAAGCTCCCCCAAGCCAAAGCTTCCAAAGGGCGTCTGGGAGCTTCCATGGAATCGCCTGGTGGGGGGTATGTTCGTTGACTTCTTCCGGGTATTGATTGAAACAAAATCCTCCTCCATTGAATTGGTGGTTTCGCATGTTTGGATTGGTTTGGATTTGGATGTTTGGCTTGGTTTGGATTTGGATTTGAACCCTTGAAGGGTCTTATTTGGAAACCCCTCTAGCACCAAACCACCGATTCGGCCCCCCACAGCAGACAACGAGGGAAGCCGCCAGGCGCATCCCGCCGCCAACGGCGACCAGCGGCAGCCGGGGTCACGGAATTCCCGGAATTCCCGGCATTGGGGTCCGAAACCTCCCATCTCTTTCCAAATGGCATGGGGCATAACCAATAGCATTTCGAGCCATTTTGGGGTGGCGGAGGCATTTTTTCCCCACGTGCCCATTGATGTTCACCAGGGCTTTGCCCGTTCGACCGCAGCCCCGCGCCGCGGGCCGGGCCGTCGGGCTCCCGGAGCGGAAGCCCGGAAAAGGCGAGGGGCTACGTTCTCCCGGAAGCAGTGCGTAGGGTTCTTCCGCTTTTTTCCTCTTTTTTTTTGTTTTCTCTCTCTTTTTCCGGACCCCCTGTTTGGCATGGTGGTTTGGGCAGTTCATCTTAAGCTACAGGAGGGTAGTTACCGCTCGTGAATCTGCTCATTATGCATGGAAGGGGCTCGATCCCACCGCGATTTGTTCACCCAGTTGAGGTGTGGATGTTGTTGTGGTTGCAATGGGACCCGCCGGTCAATTTGATCAGCCGCAGATTCCCCCGGTTCGACCCCTGAACCCATCTGAATCTCAGGTGTGGTTGGGGGAGGGGTCCCAATGAATGCATCGAGAGCTGGGGGGGGGGGATCAGCCACCCACGTGGGATCCTCCGCACCTGGAGTCAGGTGTGTCATACGTTTTGGAGTTGTTCGGCTTTTTGGTCGGAAGCCAAATTCGAAAACCAGTTTGGGGATCCCCTAAAGGAAGACACCCACATTGCACAGTAGGGTCCTTCTAGATAATGTCAACCCCGGATTTTTTCATCAACCCCTGGATTAATGATTAGGGGGGTGTCCCCTTTTCCTTTTCCTGGTGTGTCTAATTCCTTTTCCTTTCAGTGGTTGGATTCAGACCATCTGGAGGGATGGGTTTTCACCCCGAATGGGACGGGTTCTACATAGATCCTGGGACAATTTTGAGGTTGCTGGAGGCCAGCGTGTCTTTGGAGCTGCTCCGTGCCACAGCCCCCCGGCTCTGCCCGAAGCCAAGCAACGGCGAAGGCCGGCCAGCGCGGCGGGGGAGATGGGTGGGGGGAGGTGGGGTGGGGGAGGAGGCCACCTGGACGAAATGCGGTGAAATGCGGGGGGCGGCCAGCTGGAAAGAGCAGAGGTCTTCATTTGAAATGGGTGGACTTGAGCTTTCGGATTTGCCGAATAAAGTTAAGCTTTGTTTTGGCAGAGGGGTCGTCATACGCCGTATCAAAGAGTTAGCGATAGAGAATCCTACCCCAAAGCCACACACCACTCTAGAGTCACTATGTAGTGAGGGCATTTTTTATTTGTGTGTGTGGTTGGAATTGCACCGAATTGCACCCTCCCTCTTTGGGTGGACAGGTAGGGTTGGACAGCGCAGGTGTTTTGTTTCGTTGTCTTTCTCTGGTGTGGGTTTGTCTTTTTGGACGCTACCCTCTTCATGTGTTGGCTTGGAAGGGAAACTAGATGGAATCCAATGGAAACCACAAGTCTCATGTGTATATACATATATATATATGTATATGTATCAAAACTGGGCGAACAAGGGAAACCAAGGACATGAGCGTTTTCTCTTAGGCACACCTTTTTGCCCCCCCCCCCCCCCCCCCCGTATTTATTTTTGTTGGCCCTCTTTGGGCCTTGCTGTACGGCGGATCCCAGCGAGGAGGCCTCGGAGAGCTGTCGGATCACGAGCTCTTGAAGCTGCTGGACCTGAAGAAGAGCAAAGATCCAGGCGATGGTCGCGGTGTTCTCGGGGTTGGTTCCCTGTCCATTCTTTTCAACCATCGTTCTTTTCGAATACCGATCGCCGTTTTCCCTAGCGCCGTTTTCCCTGGGTTTCTGTAAGTTTCCTAGAAAGAAGGATCCCAGGACAGAATGGGGTATCCCTAGAGATGTTCCTGATTGATTGACTCCTGAGTCCATTCCGAGAAGCCGGTATTTGCTGAAACAATACGCATTCCCACATTCCCCTGACTACTCCACGATGGGTTCTCCTTCTGGGGGAATGAGCCATTTTTGGGGTTTAAGCCTACCCAGCGGCAGTGAAAAATTGGAAGCATGTTTGCTTGACAGCTCCTGGGGCGAAGGGAGTCGCTGGGAGAGGGCGGGGGTCTTGGCAAGTGCGTTTCGGTGTAGTTTCGGTTGGGTTTTGGGGTGCCCCTGTTGAAAGAGGCAACTGCTGACCCAGACGTTTCAGCGAGGATCTGTGCAACCCTAACAGGGGCCCATGAGCTCTTGACTCGATGACGTGAAAGAGTCGATTCGTGAGGGTCAATTATAACTTTTGTGGTTTCACACTCCCTTTTGGAAGGCTTCTTGAGCATGGACTAGTGGATGAATTTGATCCAACTTCATGTTTCATTGGCCGCGGATCGGGTACTCTCTGTTAGTAGGAGGTTGAGCCCCATCTCTCTCCAAAAAAAATTCGGGGCGAGGCGCCTGCCATGCCATGTAGGAGGCCCCTGGAGCCATAGGAAGTCTCTGAAGGCGAGCCAGTTGACCTCCAAGTTGGCCAGAGCAACAGCCCTAGGACTGCCCACTTTCCATGCTTTTCGTTTTGTTTCTGGTTGAGGGGGTTCCACCAATTTCAGAGCTTAGGACTTTGGGTCTCGGATCAAGTCAGCTCATTTCAGGTTTAGGGCTTAGGGTTTAGGGTGTAGCCTTCCTCCCACGATTCAGTTTCCTTGACTACTTACTTCTTCGGTGCCATGGCAACCGGGGGGGAAGTGGCTGGAGGGGAAGGTTCCAAGATGGCACTGTCTCAACTTCCGCTAAAAAAACAAACGCGCACACACAGAAAACCAAAAAACAAAAAACACCTCCAATTCCCCCCCCCCCCCCCGCCCCGAAGCTTTTTTCTTCGCCGAAGAGTGCCGTTGGGCCAGGCTCGGCGGCGAAGGCGGCGGGATTCCTGGAGGGCCCCCTGCAGCGGCGGGTGCAGAAGTACGCGGACGCCTTGGATCGGATCCGCGCCGCGGCCGTCTCAGCGGGAGGGAAGGGAAGTGTCCCAGTTGGCTGCGGGTCAAAAATCGAGTAACCCCAAAATGGCACCCTGGTAAATGGAAACAAGGACCAAAACCTGTGGTCCATATCCTGGTGGTTTAATTTTGACCCATACCCATTGCGACAATAGGTAAAGGACCTCTCCGAGTAAAAGACCTTAGAGCCTCTCTAAGGTCCCACTATGACGATGTGGATGGTTGCGAAATCCGCTTCTCGCGCCATCGTTCTAAGCCCGACAGAGTGAGATTCCATTCCCCCAACGTCAATACCCACAGACGTTCTGTTTTCAACGTGGTTTCATTTCGTGTGAACGGATTTCGTCCATGCAGAGTAGGGGACCTCCGGAGAAACAAAAAGGAAAAACTAAGTAAAGGGTTGAAGGCCCTCCATAAATCACGGAAGTGGCCAGTTCCCACAACCCTGGTCAGAGATTTTCAGCAGGTTTCGGGAATGGCAACCCAGGCGATCCCCAAGGTTGCTGGCTCTGAGCTGAACGGAATCCGTAGCTTCATGACCCTTTTCCCCTCAAACGATTCCCTCACACCGAGCCCCTCAAATATCCAAGGAAGGGGGTTTGGGCCAACTTGCTGTATGTCCCGTTTGGTTTCTCAAACCCATGGGAAGGCCTTGGACTTCCCCACCTTGGTCTCGAGGAATTCCGGGCTTCCATGGCTTGCTATTGATCTCCTTTCGGCCTCCCCTGTTGGTTTGCCTGGCTTCCTCAAAGCGGCTGAACCTGGAAACCGGTCCCTCTCCCCTTAAGCAGAGAAACGTGCGGAAAGTTGGGGGGTGGGGATTGTACTGAGTAGGTTGGCATTTTGTGTGATTTCCCTTACAGAAGCTGTTGGATTCCTTTCCAGCCAGGGTATAGAAAGCCAAGAGCTGGGTTGTCCAACCCACCTTAGAGATGGGTGTGAGCATCAGCAAGCCTTTTGAGGTCATTTGCCCAAGGGCCATGCACACAGCTATGCAAGAAGTGGTGTTTAGCAACCAGGGGTTGATGCCTATGGTGGCTGGTTTTTTTGTTTGTGAATTCCCCTAGGTTTAAATGGAAGACACAAATGAACACCACTATTTTTGGGGGGGTCCAACTCCCCAAAAAGACATTGTCCCTTGTTCGGGGGTTTTTAGACATCACATCGTTGGCATTCGGGAACCCTGATTTCTCTCTGAGCACCCGGCACTCAAAACATGTGTTCGAGGGCCCTAATCTCAACGACCCGTGTGTGGTGGTTTGGTTTGGATTTGGGTTTGAACTCCTGGATCTTGTGGGTTAGGAGGGCACCACTTCAACATATGAGCTTCGGCTTGCCTTTAAAGCTTTGCATGGCAACACGGCCAGGCGCGGTTCCCAACTCACCTCTTGGCAAGCCCTCCTGCCAGAAGGGCAAAGCTCCTTCCAGTTTGGGGATGGAAATGTGCTCTTGGGGGATCCCTTTGTTGCTTCCCCTTGTTGATTTGCAGGGAGGGTAAACGGTCAAACGTTGGCTGGATGAGGCTGTATGGAGCGTTCATGTCTATGTCTGCTTTGGCACTTTCGGAATTAGGAAAATGCTTTGTCAGGCAGTTGGGTTCGTGGCATGCCACGTCTTGACGAGTATCTTGTCCTCATGTTGGAGTAAAGCTAAAGTGTGAAGAGGCGATCGTCTCGGTGTGCTGATCTGGGTATGGGTCGAAGTCAAAATTACTCGGGCTTTCGTCCTTGTTTCCACTTGACAGGGCAACCCATTTTAGGTACCGATTTTTGACCCGCGAGCGCTTCACGCTCGGACTGAGGAGAGGACCTGAGGTCTCTGCACAAGACGTTGTCCTTGGATTATGCCAGGCCCGATGGGGTTTTCGATTGCAGTTTGCATGGCTTCGCGGAGTTTCCGGGGTTTTCCGTTTGGCAGTGACATGTTCGTTGAGACAGTTCCTTGCAGTGACCTGTTTAAAGTGGATAGATAGAGATATATATATATATACATATATATATACATATATATATATATACAGAGAACCCAGCCTTGTGGTCTTGCCAGAGGTGCAGCTAAGAGGCCTTTGGACTTCCATGCCTTTTTCGGGGAGGATAGAAGGGGAGGATAGAACCCTGGCTTGGACCGAGCAGACTTTCCGAGGCCGAAACTGGCGGGTGTGACGTTGGCTGCTCTAGTGCCTCCCCTCTCTAACATTACAAACTGCTTCTTCTCTTCAGGTCAGGGGAGTTCTTTCCAGTGGCCTCATCTTGCTGCATGTCGCTTCCTATTTGCTATTTCAGGTTATGGCACTTGCTTGATGGGCAACAGCATTGCGACCAGGAAGATGCCAAGCCCCAGCGACTCTTTGTAAATCAGACGTGGGCCACCACCAATTGCCGGTGTCCCGTTGCTCCATTTTAAGGTCATTGCAGAGGGCCCCCATTTTTAATAAGAGGAACCTCTGTGAAAAGCCTTTGCAGGGGCAAAGGCGGGCACAGGATCTCCGTAAAAAAAACACATGGACTTCAAGCTAAACACGTGCTTCAACCAGTGGATGGGATGCCTCGAGCTTTTGGTGGTTATTTCCCGAAAGCATGGCGAAGGGTTCTTCCGCTGGGTTCACTTGAGTTGTTCTCATGAGAGTCATTACAAGGTGTCATTGCAAGGAATCATCATCATGAAAGTCAATGCAATTGGAGTCAGTGCTCAGGAGTCATCAAGGAGTCATTGCATCTTGCAAAGCAGGAGCAGTGAAAGTCATTGTCATTGCAAGGAGAAGGAGTCATTGCAAGAGTCATTAGCAGTCATTGCAAGGAGTCATTGCAGGAGGAAGTCATTGCAAGGAGTCATTGCAAGGAGTCCATTGCGAGCTGCGCATGGAGTCAAAGTTGCAAGTGCAAGGAGTCAAGTGCAAGTTGCAAGTGCAAGGAGTCAGGTGCAAGTTGCAAGTGCAAGGAGTCGAGCGCAAGTTGCAAGTGCAAGGAGTCAAGTGCAATTGACTTGCGAGGAGTTAAAATCTCTTCTTAGGGCGGCGGGGTAGTGCCGACGACACTACACGAAAATCGACCCTCTGCGGGGATCGGCGTGGTCGAGGTGCAAAAACCCATGGTTTTTTGCGATTTCTAAAGTTCCCGCGCGACCCTCTGCGGGGATCGGCGTGGTCGAGGTGCAAAAACCCATGGTTTTTTTGCGATTTCTGCGGTGCTCGCGCGACCCTCTGCGGGGATCGGCGTGGTCGAGGTGCAAACACCGATGGTTTTTTGCGATTTCTGCGCTGCTCGCGCGACCCTCTGCGGGGATCGGCGTGGTCGAGGTGCAAAAACCGATGGTTTTTTGCGATTTCTAACATGTTCGCGCGACCCTCTGAGGGGATCGGCGTGGTCGAGGTGCAAAAACTCGAGGTTTTTTTGCGATTTATGCGGTGCTCGCGCAACCCTCTGCGGGGATCGGCGTGGTCGAGGTGCAAAAACCCATGGTTTTTTGCGATTTCTGCGGTGCCCGCGCAACCCTCTGCGGGGATCGGCGTGGTCGAGGTGCAAAAACTCGAGGTTTTTTGTTTTCGTGGTCCTCGGGAGTTGTCTCGTGGTTCGCGCGCCTGCTCCCGGGCCGGCGGGTCGCGGGTTCGATTCCTCCCTGGTCCGCGGGCGGGCGTCGCAAGATGCAACTTGCATTTTAAAGCAACTTGCGCAGACCAACTTGCACCGACCAGTTTGCGCAGAGCGCCTTGCCTTGCCTAGAGCAACTTGCGCAGAGCAACTGAGCAACTTGCACGCAGAGAGCAACTTGCACAGCAGCAACTTACGCAGAGCAACTGCACAGAGCAACTTGCACACAGAGCAGCTTGCACAGAGCAACTTGCAGGGAGCGCAATTTGCACAGAGCAACTTGCAGGGAGCCACTTGCAGGGACCAACTTGCCGGAGCAACTTGCGCGGAGCAACTTGCGCAGAGCAACTTGCACAGTGCAACTTGCGTAGAGCAACTTGCGCAGACCAACTTGCACCGACCAGTTTGCGCAGAGCACCTTGCCTGGTGCTGTCTCGCGCCAACTTGCACATATTGCAACTCGCACAGAGCAACGTGCAGGGAGCCACTTGCAGGGACCAACTTGCCGGAGCAACTTGCGCGGAGCAACTTGCGCAGAGCAACTTGCACAGTGCAACTTGCGTAGAGCAACTTGCGCAGACCAACTTGCACCGACCAGTTTGCGCAGAGCACCTTGCCTGGTGCTGTCTCGCGCCAACTTGCACACACTGCAACTCGCACAGAGCAACTTGCGCAAAGCAACTTGCGCAGAGCAACTTGCGCATGTGCCAGGCCGGGGCTAAACAAGTTTGCCGCACATCGTGGGGAGTTATGCTTTCAGGCCACTCACCCTGTAGGAGTTTGACGCAAGGAGTTCTCATCATGAAAGAAGTTGCGGGGAGCATGGCGCACACGGCTTATTTACGGGCATGGCGCACACGGCTGGTTGTTATGTGGCATCTTGCGGATGATCATCGAGATTTGGCTCAAACAGAAGTCATGGAGCTCTGCTTGCTGGCTTTTGCGAAGCTTTTAATCATGCAGACGGTCATACTTTTTGAAAGCGATCAACCGAGTGAGCGGAAAAAAAAGGGTCGTGCGTCGCAGCCTGCACCACTGTAGGAGCATGCCTCGCTTGCAGCACTTGGCCTCTGCGCATTGTGTTGCAGGCGCCCTGCCGCGGGCCGCGCCCTGGCTCACTCCTCGCAAGTGACCATCACGACCATGACACGCTTGGTCCAATGGCTGCGTCCTGGCGCGTGGCTGAAAAACCACTGCGGGCTTCGTACTCATGTTTGCAGCGGCTTCAGCCATTTTCCCCTAATTGGAACATGCTTGCGTTGATGGCAGCTTGACAACATGACATCATCAGCCCCAGCTCCTGCTTCTTCCCTCCTTGGACTCGCGCTTGCAGCCGGGCGGCGCGCTGGCGATCCAGCCATCGACGGCATCAGCCTGGATTGCTGCCGTGGCCTCCGCCTTCCGCAACAAGATCGCGTCACGCGGGCTGACGCGTGCTTTTGTTTCACTCAATGAGCCAACAGTGCTAACTTTTCCGAATGGGAAGGATTTTGCTTCAAGCATTTGGTATTTCGGACTCAGCAGCTCGCTGGGTGGACGTTGGCTCCCGCCAAACGCAGCAGCCATGGTCAGGATTTTGGAGCTTGATTGCATTCGAGCTTGCCAAGGTCTTGCAGTGTGTGCCGGAAGATGTGCCTTCAGATGGAGTACGGAAAAAAAGGTATCCTGCAGCGTTTGGCCGACCTCGCTTGCGATGTTATGCTTTCGGGCCAACCGTGGTCTAGTTTTTTAATGGCTTCTCAACATTGCACGGCGGTCTTCCCTTACCTCTTTAAAACACCATCTGGCTCGGGGATGGTCGGGGTCTAACTTTTAACATGGCCCAAGAACCCGCATTTTTAGAGTCCTTTTGGGAAATGGATCCTTTTACAGGGATCCCTGTGCTTTCTCGGGTTCCATGTGAATATTTGTAGCGCCCAAGCCACCATTGCAGGAGACATCTCCTTTTGGGACATTAGCCATTCGGGTTCCATGTGGGGGTTGATCAAAGGGTCCAGAATACATAGGATGACCATTGAGGGGGACCACGAAAAGCATGATGTTTCAACTACGTGGGAAAAGTGAGCCATGCTCAAAACTGGGTTCCGGCAAAATTGATCAACCCCCATGCGAATATTTTTG